TGGTGTCATTCTTCTTGACTGAAGGACTGGGCATGCTGTTTCTCCACTTGATTCTTCCTACTCTTCTCCCCACCAAATAATTCTTTATAATTCAGAGCAGAGCTCAGCTATCACTGTCTCTCCATGATACCTTGGATGAATCAGCTCCTCTCTTTATATCTCACCTGGTGCCCTTCATAGAATGGATAACTGAGTAAGCACTTCAGTCATGAATATGATAATATGACTTTCCTGCTAAAAGGTAAATCCTGTGAGGGCTGAGACTATGGCTGCCTTACTCATAGTAGTAACTGCAGCATGTTTACACACAACAGGCATCCAAACAATAGGGTCACAAGGTGACTGAAGGGGAGAATCCCTTCATGGTGAGGATGCCGATGGGCTCCTGTGAGGTGAGGTGGCCCTGGGCTCTCTGATGATGATATTCTGGAAGTGTTAACACAGTTTGTAAAAACTAAATGTGCTATTTTCAACTCTGCTTCTGTGTTACAATTTCCTCTTTGGTTCTTCTAATAGTCAACTTATTTTGAAATCCAGGACTGACACAAGACTGTCAAAAGTTAAGAAATAACAGAAGTAAAACCAGTGATTCCTCAAAGTAGTAATTAATAAAAATTTATTGTGCATGCACTAAGAAGTTTGCAAACTGAGAGCCCTCAAATCAAAACATGGAATTTGGCTACCACTGAGCCTCATTGTTATAAAGCAGCTTGTAGGGTGGAAAGCAATGACTGTTCATTCTTCACAATGACTAGTTACAATATTAAAGATTTTTTCAAGGATAGGGAATTGGCCAGTGATTACCTCATATCAATCTTGGGAAACAGTTCAAGTTTTGCTTAGGATTTTCAGAACCATATACAACCAGTGGCTCTGATCAAGTTAGTCTTGCAAAATCAGCTAAATTAGTCTTTGTTTGAATGTCTATACTGGTTTTGTCTGCTCAGCGCTGGTCTCTGTTTTTTATTTTGACAACGTCACCTTTCTGCTCATTTTCTCAAGAGGCTGAGAGTATGACCCACCAATATAGTGTTATTCTCAGTTACCATCATGGATGTAGACAGTGCAAAGAATCACACATTTGTTGTTTCCAGTAGTAGGGTTGTGCTGGAAGGCCAGGTAGTCACCATTTTTATCTTTTATGTGTTCATTGCAATTTCATCCAGGTGTCTGATCCTGATGCATACCATTTGGTGAGTGGCTCACAGCAGGAATTTAAAACCCTTGAGAATATACAATGCATGTAAGAGGTTAATAGCATGACAATCAGAAGAATAATAGCCAAGGATTGAAAAGTTCTCCAGAAAAGAGATTCCCAGTAGCCAAGATTTAAACAATTAAAAAATCAAATGGGCTTCGATTTTTTTAAGTTATTTATGTAGACATAACATGATATATTAACAATCACATATCCTTATGATTACTTAGGACAGGACTAATGTGAATGTTTTATTTCAGGAGGCTGTATGGCAGGTGAGTTTTCACCTGAATTAGGTCTCTGTATGATGTGAGCAATCAGGTAATTTAATGAGAGGCATTTCCATGGAAACAAAAGTAAAACAAAGGTTAATAGTTTGAGCAAATTATACATTCAGTTTCTAAGTCTGGAGAGCAGCCTCATACTGTGAGGCTGAGACTAGAAATTTGAGAACATTTCTAGATGCCAGATTCCAAGCACCTTCAGAGGGGGTGAGAGTGGGCAGGTGAGATGGGATAGATTTCCCTGGTTTGTGGTGCGAATACCTCTGGTGAGTGACCACTTAGCAACAAACAAACATCATCCACACATAAGCTGTTACAGAGATTTCTCTGAAATTTCGATCAAGCTGGCCAGTTTTAGATTGCATGGATTCAGGAAAAGGGCATTTTTACTTTTACAGTGACTCCAAAAATTGGAAATTTTAATTAGTTTGGAGAGATCTAGCCAGATATTGGAGGAAACTAGAAGAATTCGGGATCTAGTGTAGTTTATAGGTAGAAAACAAAAGCCCAAAGACAACAACACCAGAATCTGACATCCACAAAGGTGTATTACTGAAACATAATTTTTCTCTCTAGAATCATCCCCATTCCTATCAAAGATAAACTCAGTAAGACTAATTCATTTGCAAACTAAGCCTAGTTTCAATAAATTTGGCTTGATTATTTACATAAGTGCATCAAGAAAAATGAGTGACTATAGAGGCTCCTTTAAATTTCCTTGTTGGAACTTTTTGTAAGGAATATCAGATTGAACTTTCAAAAGCCTCTCAAGGCTGGGAAGCCAAGCCACGGACTTGACCAATCATGTCCTCTTGTAAGAAGAGATTCTTGCTGAATTTCATCAAGTACTTACATTGTCATGAAAAATAAGAATATTTAATAAGAGTTTCTGAATTGTGGAAGGCTCAGGTAGGGAGAAAAAGAAAAACATTTTCAACTTTGTTGCAAAGGTATATTTTACCAAATTGCTGTAAGTTATAGATAGCTTTAAAGAGAGGAGAAAAAGGAGTCCTTTAAATTTGCATAACAAAACATTAAAGAACTAGCAATGATTTAAATGAAGTTATAAAATTATAATCATCTGCATCAGTTGATTCAGTCTCCTGTAATTAATTTTTGTCTTGCTTTATCTTGGTTTATCAGCTTTATGAATTAATCAAAATGTTTTCATGAAAAGTTTTAGAAAATCTTACCCAGTTCACTGTTATAATCTTATAATTACCTGAAACCTGAATTTTAGTTGTGTATGTGTCAGGGTCTTTCCCATGAATCTCTTTGAAGACATTGTACAATGCTTCTCATGTAATCTAACATATCAAATAAGTCTAATTAGTTTAATACTCCTACAAGGAGAGAAAACAAGTCTTTTGAGATGTTCCAAGGACCCTCTAGAAAATCCCAAAATTATTTCAAGTTTTAAAAAAAGAAGCTTTATTTAAAATTTAATTTCTGAGAAGTCTGTCAAAAATATTAAAAGGTTTAAAACACAAAAGGGTTAAAATTATGATCATAAGTCATTGTCAAACAATACTTACCCATTCATTCAATGAAAGTAACAATTGAAAGATTTCAAAAGCATATACAGAAGGTTATAGAACTGTAAAAACAAAACAAAGCAAAACAAAAACACTTAGACCTTTTAATAGAAAAGACTCTTTTTTTCTAAGTAATCAAAGACCTGATGAAGACAAAACACAGAATCTGTTCTCTAGGCAGATTACATTAAAGGCACAGAAAAATCTTTTCTTACAGTTTTTTTTAAGAGTAGACCAATAATCTTTCTTTAAAAATGTGATTTTAACAGAGAGAGAACAAAATTCTAATTTTGTACTAGTAGCTTTTGATATTAAATATTTTTAAGTAAATAAATCTATTCCAATCTAAGTCAGCTTGAACACACATAAAATTTCTTTCTCAAGAATCTTTGTCTATAAATCTTCTTCAGCTTTCTGTATCTAATTTGACTTTATCTTATCTTGTTCCTTTCTTATTCTGGAACAATCGTGTTACTTTAGCACAAAATTACTTTTTTTCCCTTACAAAAACAAAACAAAAAAACATGTCCTTCACATTTTTCCTTATCTGAAAAACACACTCCTTTTTATTTGCCTACCATATCAAATAAATACTCATTTTTTTCCACCCTTAGTATTTCTAGTGGTTTATTTTTACATATTGATTATAAATTTGAACTATTTGTAATCTGTGCTTTTCAGTGGAAACTAGGAGGCAGGCAAATGTGAACTGCTTATCATCTTTAGCATCCTGTAGTAGATTAGGAAATTTAGAAATACACTTCACAGTTGCTAGAATATTCTTTCTCACAGTAAAATTTTCACTGTGAACACAAAACATGTTTATTTATAGACACAAATATCTTTTGTCTCTCTGGAAAAAAATTTAAAAGCCCAAAGTAGATAAAACTCAAACTCATGTTTAATTTTTGTTATTGGGAAATTATTTAGATAGTCAATGAATATCTATTTTTTAGTTTAACTTAGTATAAACTTTTAACTTAATATTTATTTACATTACTTGTTTTTAACAATTATGCTTGGATTAGACCTCAAATAGCTAACCATATTAAGTTTTTCTATTGTTAACAAATTTCTAAGGCATGCCTGCATTTATTAAACTAGATTTTATTTATTTAAGATTATACCAGATCATGTGAACTTGAAAACATTTTTTTTCTGAGAGTATAGTTGATTTATATAAATGTTTAACTTTCTTTAAGCCAATTAAATAGAGCTTTTTAAAAGTTAACTCTGGTAATGCCACCCAGAGATAGAAATATAGCACACATAGACATACATAAATGTACTGATAGACAGACATCTTATAGCTTTTGTTTTGAAAATTTTAGCCATATCTGTGGTATAAACCTCTAAAGAACAGTTGTATCACCCTTGTGTTTCTGGCAGATAAACTAAGTGTACCTGCTCAGACGGTCAAGGCTTTTTTTTAAAGATATTTTATTTGCATGTTGTAAGGATCTTTTTAGAACTGTTTTTGGAGTCATTTTATCTTTCAAAGGCTTCTGAATATCAGTTAGAAAATGCTTTCCATTGTCTCTCAGAGGTTTGGAATCCAAATTTACATAAGCCAATGGTTACCCAAAATGGCCATTACAATTTCAAAAGTTCATCCATTTTTCCAAAAGACATGAAAACCTGATTCATAGACCAAGTGGAACCCATTTTTACCTTTGGATTCTGCAAGACATTTTAACTATGAGAGGCACTATTTTCCAATAGTTGTTCCAAAATGTAGGGAATCATGCATTTTCCCCACTATAGAATGGAATATGGTGACTTACCAAGAAGTTGAAAGGAAGTGTGCACAATAAAGTAGGAGAGCTCAGAATGCAGAGTGGAGCCCACATCCCAGAGACTTACCCTCAGTTCCAGGGTCAGCAAGAAAGCAGTGAGCTCCACGGGCTCTGTGGGTACGAGCACGTATTTGTTCACCATACTTGGGAGTCTTTGGAAGTCTTCTTTGGATCCCACTTCTGATACCAGAGAATGTCATAAGTTCAGAAATAACAGAAGTAAAATGAGTGAATCACTAAAGTAGTAATTAGTAAAAGTTTATTGTGCACACATCAAACACCAAAACGAGTTTGCGACAGAGTGCACTTAACCCAAAATACGGAATGAGGTTCAGGGGTACCTTTTTATAAAGCAGATTGTATACTCAAAAAGCAGTGACTATTTATTCTTCACAGTGGTTATAATAGAATTTTCTTAAATAATAGGGAATAAGTCAGTGGTTACCTCTTATCAACCTTGGAAAACTGTTTTATTTATGATTTTCAGAAGCATAAGCAAGAAATGACTCATGTCAAGTTAGTCGTGCAAAATAAGCCAAATCAAGCTTTGTATGACTAAACTAGTTTTGTCTGCTCAGGGAGTTTTCAAGGCTGGTTTCTGTTTTTGATTTTAATAAGGGCAAAATTATAATTCTTTATTAATGATTCCTTAATTTTTCTTTTATGTTGATTATATCAGATAGATTATACAATTAGGGGACTTTTCAATGAAGCTAAAGTTTACTTTGCATAATAAATTCCTTAGTGAAGATGAAATTCAGTCATCAGACACATTCAGAAGCATTGAACTAAATCTCTATGGAAATGGGATTTCCTTGGGGCAAAATATTTATACATGACATGCATATGTTAACCATAACTCACACATGAATGCAGAGAGCTTATGCTAAGCCTGGTATAACACTGATGAAGGGAAAAAATGTGTTCTCTAGTATATCTGTGTGTGTGGGAGGAGAGTGATCAATTACATTACTTGATTTTCTTACTGTATATATCAGTTTGCCCATATGAGCCATTGAATTTGATGGACACTAAGAGTAACACATCAAAATGTATAAGCCCTTCACAGCAACAGCAAAACAAAATAATTTTATTGATTCTTTGTTGTAAGATAAAAAATGAGAGTATATAAAATTAGACTTGTCAATAGGTTTTAAAAATCTCTAGGCTCACCAATTATGTATTGGTTCTGTTTGCAGTTCCAGACCTTTTGCCTATTTGCTCTTTATACTTACTGCCAGGGAGAGTGTAGAAATAATATTTTCTAATATGTTTTTTTCTTTACCTACAATTAAGAAAAGGTAAGAATATAATCAATTTGACTTTGAACTGTAAACTTGATTTTTATTATGCTTGCTTTTACTATTTGAGGTTCTAACTCTATGGATTTGTGCTTTTTTTACTATGTGTAATATAAGGCAAATACTTTCAGCATTTAGAGCAATGTGAGACATCAACATAGCATCCAAGTCTAGGCAAATAACATTAGGCTGGTTAATTAAGGAGAACAGTTCAAGTAGGAAAAATTTTGAAACAGAAATGAAAGAGTTAAGAATACAAGTATGAAAATAAAATTCAGATTGTTGTACATAATTACTTTGCTTTTGTCTTAGCTAAGAGTGTTTTAAGAAGTAGCACATACATGTCTTGAATTTAGTAAGGTCAACTAAAATGATCCATATTAAGTATCTAATGTGGGAGCAATCTTAACTTTGAGCACTGGAAAATGCCGAAATTTAAACCTATTTGTGTGCCTATAGAACCAGAATGGATTCCTGGTCATTATAAAATATTATGGGTAATGTGACTCCATTATGATTTTTCTTCACCCAACCCAACAAACACTGGATGGAGCCTAACTTTTCTCTAAGGATTGGACTGAAAACTTATAGTTAAAAATGGACATTTTTCCTATTCCTCATCAACAGAACAGCTAGAACATTTTTTAAAATAAAAGATAGGCTTAAGAAATTCTATTCCAGATGAAATTAAAAAAAAAAATGGTCACAATGCCAATCTCTAAACTCTGAAGTGTGGCTGCTGAACACAGTTTGTCTGGCTTAAGAGCAGGACACATGCTGAGTCAGCACATAACTCTTTGAAAGTCAGACAGGATACACATTGCTCCAAAACTACCTTGAAAGAAATGTTTTAAGCATACACTGGCTAGAGCAATGGGGTACATGAACATGATGGGACATCAGGCAATAAAAGAATGTTTCAATATTGAACTGGTTTGTACTGTGAAATGGAGAGAAATGGAATTCTTAGGAGATAAATTCCTACCCTCTAGTGTTCAGTGAAGGCTGCCAGAAATGAAGTGAGTGAAATTAATTTATGATGAGACAAGAATATTCCATTTCAGTCATAGTTACATTAAAAAAGAGCTTGCAAATTTTAGACATTGTATTGCAAAAAATGCATAAACAATAATTTTATGTCAGGCAATATAGACTCTACCAAATCAGCAGGGCAAAAAAAAAAAAAAAGGAAAATAAAGTATCTGTACTTGGTAAAGTGGAAATATAAACATTATGACAACCATCAGTTTTCTATACACAATTCTATCTATAAGTGAAGGTTTATTATTGCCACCCCCACCTAAGGTTTGCTGATGCATATTACATGCCAGGTACTTGCAATCTCTTTTTTTTTTTTCACAACAGGGCTTTATATATCAATAATTAAATTTGAGAGTACAGCAATGGTTCACAACTAGTTCCTCCTTTTTCATTGGTAGTCAATTCTTCCTCTGGGGGCTACACATAACAGAGAAGTAAATGAAGGCTGGTAAGAGTTCCACATTGGTTGGAGCATGTTGTTTACTGTAGCAGTGATGTCCAGCCCTGCTTGTTGTTAAATAATTTGACTCTCACCCTTGAACAGATGTTCCCTACTTTCTTACAAAAGGTAAATATCAGTGCAATTTCAAAGGATAAAATATGTTCACCATTTTATTCAAAATTTTATATTATGCTACAAATATGTACAATTTCAATAATAAATTAAAAATAAAGCATGAAAAAATAAGCACAATGCCAATCTCTAAACTCTGAAGTGTGGCTGCTGAACACAGTTTGTCTGGCTTAAGAGCAGGACACATGCTGAGTCAGCACATAACTCTTTGAAAGTCAGACAGGATACACATTGCTCCAAAACTACCTTGAAAGAAATGTTTTAAGCATACACTGGCTAGAGCAATGGGGTACATGAACATGATGGGACATTAGGCAATAAAAGAATGTTTCAATATTGAACTGGTTTGTACTGTGAAATGGAGAGAAATGGAATTCTTAGGAGATAAATTCCTACCCTCTAGTGTTCAGTGAAGGCTGCCAGAAATGAAGTGAGTGAAATTAATTTATGATGAGACAAGAATATTCCATTTCAGTCATAGTTACATTAAAAAAGAGCTTGCAAATTTTAGACATTGTATTGCAAAAAATGCATAAACAATAATTTTATGTCAGGCAATATTGACTCTACCAAATCAGCAGGGCAAAAAAAAAAAAAAAGGAAAATAAAGTATCTGTACTTGGTAAAGTGGAAATATAAACATTATGACAACCATCAGTTTTCTATACACAATTCTATCTATAAGTGAAGGTTTATTATTGCCACCCCCACCTAAGGTTTGCTGATGCATATTACATGCCAGGTACTTGCAATCTCTTTTTTTTTTTTCACAACAGGGCTTTATATATCAATAATTAAATTTGAGAGTACAGCAATGGTTCACAACTAGTTCCTCCTTTTTCATTGGTAGTCAATTCTTCCTCTGGGGGCTACACATAACAGAGAAGTAAATGAAGGCTGGTAAGAGTTCCACATTGGTTGGAGCATGTTGTTTACTGTAGCAGTGATGTCCAGCCCTGCTTGTTGTTAAATAATTTGACTCTCACCCTTGAACAGATGTTCCCTACTTTCTTACAAAAGGTAAATATCAGTGCAATTTCAAAGGATAAAATATGTTCACCATTTTATTCAAAATTTTATATTATGCTACAAATATGTACAATTTCAATAATAAATTAAAAATAAAGCATGAAAAAATAAGCATGAGGCCAGTTCATTGACACTGTGTTACTCAGTGCCATTTTTATGTCTTCATTTCTAACAGTTCATCTGATCTAGGATCCAGATCATCTTCTTGCTAGTAAAACTTTTTGGCAGCACATCTGACATGCAGAGTGTTTCCTTCCTTCTAAGCAGTGGGAAGATGTTTGTTAAAAATAGAAATGCTGAAGACAATCAGTTGCGATCAAGAAGGGTTGATGAACATTTGCACTATATGTACAAAACTCCGTAAAAATTCTTTAATATTTTTTTCCTCCAGTTCCTCACATTCTTTGCATCCTAATTCAGTTACATTCTGCCAGATAAAAAGAGAGGATCAATTAGATTAGAAAGTCTAATGTATTTCTTTCCTGGGAACATTACATCATTTGAACTATAAGGTGAGGTCTCAAGACATAAAAACTTTGGCAAATTACTATGCCATTAGGAAGAACTATGGGGAAAAAGAACTGAGGGATTTGATATGGGCTATCAAATGTCCTATAATAGATTAAGGATATTGAAAAAAATAGCCATGCCTATCAGACCATGGACTTCCTGATTAGAGCCTTTCAATAGTTTCCAGTCATCTACTCTAGCACAATGTCCCTGCCTCCAGTATCACCCTTAAGCTACTCCTTACCTATTTCTTTCACATTTCCCCATTACCTCAAAGGTTATGCCCTAGGAACTCTGAGGTCATGCCTTTACCCCCCATGCACACATCAGACTATTCCTCTCTGCTGATCCACACTTCCTGTTCTAGCTACTGCTACTCACAACTATTCAGACAAATACCACAAATTGATGTCACTTAAACATAGTTTCATGGATAACTAGAATATTCCAAACGTAGCAATCATAAATTAACTTTTTAGAGATGATCTGAACCATGAAAGCTGTACCAGCAGAAATCAAAATTATATTTTGCAAGCATTTGAAAGTCAGATCCACCAATTTTTATCAAGTACATACTCTATGCCAGGCACTGTCATATCTCATATAATGCTACCCTATTGGTTCTGAAAATCATCGTGTCAGATAGAATAGCAGAGATACTAAATGACTCATCTCAGTTGACATAATCAATAAAATTGACCCTGTCCAGGTCTTTTAACTATGCCTCCTGCCCTTCCTTCCATTGCATATGCCACACTGGATAGTGAGGACGGGGACTATGAACATGCACATTAGATTCACCATTGATGTTGTTATGACTTATCTGTTGCATGGTTCAGTCTTTCAACTGATAACATAAAGATAACATCACAAGGGTATTTTAAACATTAGTATATTCATTTCACAAATATATCAAGGGTCTAGTATATGCCAGGCATTATTCTGGGAATTGGGATATAGCACTGACAAAGCCAGAAGTGCCTGCCCCTTTGAGTGGGCATTCTAGCCGGGAAAAGCAGCTAATATCCATTAAACATGTGGTATGTCAGATAGAGGGACATGTAGAGAAGGGGACAGGGAGCACTGATGTGGGGATGGGACAGCAACTATGAAGAAGTGATATCATGAGAAGGTGACGTCTAAGCACAAACTGGACGCAGCCTGGCATTTGTGGGAAAAATCCAAGGTGTGCAGCCTCACAAGCCCAGGGTCTTTGCACTCTCAATTGCCTCTGCCTGCAGATACTTCCCCAGGTGTCCTTCAGGCTCATCCCCCCTGCTCACATCCTTGTCAAATGTCAGCTTAGTAAGTAAATCTCCAAAGAAGAAGCCCTGTCCCTTATCTGCCTTCTTTTCAGCCATTAGACCTTTACTATGTAACTGACTTATTCATTTGCTTATTGATTGGTTTATTTATGCTTCTTTCCTTCTTAAGATCTGGGATTATGTATATTTTTTCACTTCTTTTATCCTGAGGGCCTTCAACTGGGCCTAAAAAGATTTTGTTAAATTAACAAATAATTATTATACCTTCCTCATTTATAAAACATTGATCCACTTTGCTTTGGCAACTACTGTCTCACCACAAAAGCCATGATCCTCTGTGCTTCAGTGCCTTTGCACAGCTGCCCTCAAGCCTGCCACAGCAGTCCCTAGGGTTTGCTCTCCTGGAACCATACTGCTGATGTTGCCTGGATTGACCCAAATTATTAATAATCTTATTATGATCCCTTTGCTGCATTTATTCTTTCACAGATAGGAAGACAGACTCTGGGGTGAAACTGCTTGCATACGAATCCTGGCTCCCCATTGTACTAGCTGTGTGGATGGCAGGGAGACTTCAAACTCTCCATGCTCCAATTTCTTCAGTCTTAAAACAAAGGTATCTATCATAAAAAGTTACTGTGTAGATTCAATGAATAACCATTTAGCCCTTGAAGAACAGGTCTGGCACAGAGTAACAACCCAATAATGTGGGCTGCAGTTATTGATGCTAAACACTTACTTAGGTAATTAGATTAACATCTATCCACCATACCTGGTGGTAAGTAAACACCTCGAAGTCAGTGACCTGACTTTTCCTCCACTGCCACTCCAGCTCCGAGGCACAATACCTGGCATCATGCAGTAAACGTTGAATGAGTGTCAACAATGAATGGTTTAGGATTGTATGCACACTAGTAACGGTGCCTCTTCTGCATGTCACTCCTAGAATTAGCTCCCTCTCACGAGTGCCCTTTGAAGGGTCCGCTTGTCCATTATTACTAATGACTTCTCCCAATCAAGCAAAAATATCCAACATAGCTCTGTATGAGTATTGGTAACTCACCCCACTGGAAGATAAACTGTTGTTTGCTAGAATGATGAGGTTTTCAACTGTTTCATCAATGCCCGGATTTCTGGACTCACGCAAAATAACGTGTAACTCCAGGAGAAAGCACTTCATTGCTGTAACTTTGCAATTGGGCTAAAAATAGAGTTACAAAAAGCCATTTTGGAAAAAAATTGCTCTTATTCACTTTCATATAGATGTAATTTTCACTTTTTAGAAAGTCAATCCAAATATTTTATAAAAAAACACAATACCCCTGAAGAGTTTTACATAGGAAGTTGTTTGATTTTTTTTTTCTCTCTTTTGGCTTTGAAAATCAAAACCAAAACAGAGGACAAACAGTCAAGAATGATGGCAATATTGTACAGAAGAAAGAACACAAAATCAGAAAACATGGAAATTATAAGCCACTTAGATGATAATTACTCTCAAAACATTAATATAGATACTTAATGTGAGAATTTTTAGAATTATACTGTATTGTTAACATTTTAAACAGTGGTAGCTGCTAATCATACTATTTATGCAAGTTCCAAAGTTTGAGAGGCAGATGTGATTCCAAGAAATTTATTAGAAAAATCAAAGCAAGAGTATTATCTACTTACAGATTGGCTAAATCAAAAGATACCTTTCCGATACCACCCAAATACATTTCCCACAATAATTACTTGAACAAAAACTTAAACTTAAGAGAAGCAAAGCAGTTAATGAATATTGGGGATTTAACCATGACTTCTTTGACTTTGTGTTCCCAATGCCTGGGACCCTGCAGGCACTGAACAAACGCTTCTGAACAGATGAATGAATGAAGGAACACACCCATGTGCCTGGCTCTGACAGTATTCCTTATCCCTCACTGCAGCTGCTTAGGATTGAAAGGGTAAATACTGTCACCATGTTGATAATAAAATAAATAATAAAACTGAGGTTCAGAAAAGTTTAGTGAATTCCAAGCTAACACATGACTAGGAAGAACATGAGTCAGGCTTTAAATCTCAATTTCCGTCTCAGTTTCTTTCTACAAACTATGAGTTGCAAGGTTATCTTCTTGCAAAAAAACAATCTCAGGACACTGAGTGTTGGTGGTAACTGACTGTTCCCTACTTTGAAACAATGCAAAGAAACAGGGGAAACACGCTGAAGCCCAGGCAGGGAAATGCCTTCCAAGGGCAGCAGCCCTAAGTGGCTGGCGGCTATCTGTCTTTTCTGGTTTCTGGCTATGGTTTCTTTTCAGTGCTTAGAAAGTCTTGGTGGGGGCAAAGCCTTCTATTTCATAGAAGTTCTAGGTGAGGAATAATGAAAGAACACTTACTGTTCTGAATGCACACAGCACAGAATTTGTTTTCCATGAGGTGAAGGAGTAGGGGATCTGTTTCCTGGTTTTTAGTGACCAATCCAGAGGGAAAGGACCAGCAGTGTGACTGAAATCACACGTGCCTTAGGAAATGTCGGTGTGTAATGAAACAAGGTCAAGATTATTCTTGAACTCTGACAGGTTTTTTGGGTTGTGTTTCTTTCTTTCCCACAGAGAGAGTAACCAACCAGGCAGAATCTTTTTCTGACAATTGTAGATATTTATGCAAAATGTAGAACATGAAGTTTTTAGGCAATTTGTAGAAAATATGATTAAAGATGGTGATACACCTCAGCACTGGAAACAAACGATATGCTGAATACTTTGAAATTGCATCAGTCAACATGATTCTTGCATTTAATTGCATGATGATACAATTGCATGCTCAAAATGTATAACGTATTTTGTTTGACATTGATGGAAAAGGCTTTTTTATATTTTGATATGGCACCTTTAAAAAATAGCATCCATATGTAGCTCTTTGTCCCCAAATCCTAGAACCACAATAATTAGTTATAAAATTCATTGATCTATGCTATAAGAACACACCAAAAGCTAGATTAAAACTATACATATTTCAATCAATTTATGAATATACACTTAACAGATTTTTGAAAACTCAAAAATATACAATTTTGAGAAAAAAACAATACTCACATGAGCATCACTTTCAGTATATAAAGTGGCATCAATATGCATAGACTGAAAGGGAACAAAATTAGATAAAATGAAAAACTATGCCTGCATTAGATATAATGAGAACAATATACTGAAAATATTAAGCTTTTAAAATTAATTCTTTATTTTGAGGTAATTTTAGATTCATATGCAATTGTAAGAGAAAATACAGAGAGATCCTGTGTACCCTTCACTATTTCCCCTATTGGTATATCCTGCATGAGGAGAGTACAACTTTACAACTAGGAAATTAACATCAATGCAACCTCCACCTTGTTCAGATGTCACTAGTTTTATATGCACTAATGAATGTGTGGTGTGTAGTTGTATGAAATTTTATCATATGTGTAAATTCATGTAACCACCACCACCACTATTAATATACAGAACAGGGCCATCATCAGAAGGATCCTCCTGCTAGTCTTGTATAGCCAAAACCACCTTCATCCCCACACATTCCTGCACCCCCATCCTTCTAATCTATGGCAACCAATTCTCCACTCTCTATTTCTATGATATAAATTCAAGAATGTTATATAAATAGAATCATACAGTATAAACTTTTGAGATTGGCTTTTTGAAAAAATTAATATACTTTTATTTTTTTAGATTTTATAAAACATGAGCAGAAAGTATAGAAAGTTCCCATATATCCCCTTACCTACCTCCATCCCCACCTTCCCCTCATTAATATCTTGCATTAGTGTGGTACATCTATTAAAATTGATGAATCAATATTGATGCATTTTTAAACTACAAATGCAGATTACATTAGAATTCACTCTTGGTGTTGTCTGTCCTGTGTGATTTAACAAATACATAATGACATGTATCCTCCATACAGTATCACACAAAATAGTACCACTGCCTTCAGAATCATCTGTGTTCCATCTATTTGTTTCTCTCTCTCTTCTAACCCCTGGCAGCTACTGATATTTTTACTGTATTCATAGTTTTACCTTTTCCAGAAGAAAGTTGGAGTCATATAATATATAACCTTTTTAGATTGGCTTCTTTCATTTTGTCATATGCTTTCAAGGTTCCTCTATGTCTTTTCATGGCTAGATAGCCCGTTTCTTTTCATTGCTGAGTATATATACCAATGTATGGACATACTCTGGTTTGTCTGTCTAGACTGGCTTCTTTCACACAGTATAATAATATTCTGGAGGTCTATTCAGTAATTTGTATCAGTAACTTGTATCAGTAATTTGTTCCTTAGTATTATTCAGTATTATTCCATGATATAAGGTACCACAAACTATTCACCTGTTGAAGGATGTTTGGTGGGGTTTTTTTTGCTATCATAAATAAAGCTTTATGAACATTCATGTGCATGTTTTTGTGTAGATGTAAGTTTTCATCTCCCATATAAATGATCAAGAGTGAAACTGTTGGATCATATGGCAAATGCATGTTTTGTTTTATAAGAAACAGCCAAACTATTTTAGAGTGTATCAGAAAAACATGAGTGATATACTTTCTCCACATCCTTGGCAGCATTTGGCACTATCACTCTATTTTATTTTAAATATTCTTATAGGTGCATAGTGATAGATATTGTGGTTTTAATTTGCACTCCCTAAGTAAAATATTACCATTTACTGGTACTGTCTCCCAAAAAAGACTTGGAGTGATTTGTAATTTCTTCCTTTCTAATGTATCTACTTTTTCTTTTCTTGCCCTGCCAATTTAGCTGAAGTTCCAACACTATGTTGAATAAGAGTGGTGAGAGAAGACATCCTTGCCTTGTTTCCTGTAAAAGCATTCAGTCTTTCCCCATTATGATGTTAGCTCTAGATTTTTGTATCTGTATCTTTGATGCTCTCTATCAAGTTGAGGAAGTTCCCCCTCTGTTCCTTGCTTACCGAGAAATTTTATCCTGCATAGGTATTGTGTTTTTAAATGCCTTTTCTGTATCAATTGGTATGATTATATGATTTTGTAATTTAGATGGTTGACATGGTGGGTTACACTGATTGACTTTAAAGTACTGAACCAGTCCTGTATAACTGGAATAAATCTCACTTGGTCATAATACATAATTCTTTTAATATACCATTTATTGAGAATTTTTACATCTGAGTTTATGAGTGGTATTTTTAGCTTTCTTTTTGATGCTCTCTTTGGTTTTATCCTCAAGGTAATACTTGCCTCCTAAAATTAGTTGGAAAGTGTTCCCTCTTCTAATTTTGGAAGAGATTGTGTAAAATTGTTTAGTTTTTCTCTAAATGTTTGGTAGAACCAGTGAAACCAGCTGTCCTGGAATTCTTTTCTGGGAGCTTATAAATGGTGAATTCAATGTCTTTAGCAGTTACGGGAGTTTTAGGATCATCTGTTTCATCTTTATTACATTTTGGTGGTTTGTGGTTTTTGAGAAATTTGTCTATTTTGTCTAAGTTGTTAAATTTATAAGAGTAAATTTGTTCTTAGTTTTTCTTCATTAGCTTTTTGATGGCTTCAGGTTTTGTGGTGATAGCCCTTGATTTCAGTCCTGATGTTGATGGTCTGTGTCATTTTCAATCTTTGTCAGTCTTACTAGAGGTTTATCATTTTATTGATTTTTTGCCCCAAATTGAGTTTTATGTTTCATTGATTTTCTCTATTTTTTTCCTGACTTCAGTTTCATTAATTACTGCTTTTAATATTTATTCCTTCCTTCCTTCTGTTTGTGATGGGTTTATTTTGCTCCTCTTTCTCCACCCTCTTAAGGCAGGAACTTAGATTGCTGATATGACATTGGTCCTCTTTCCTAACATAATCATTTAGTTTTATAAATTTCCCTGCAAGTAATCATTAAAATTTTATAACTCTTAAACTTATTTAAAAAGTGACTACAATAACTGCTCAATCTAAGTAAGAATTTAACTGAACTTCACATATCTTGATTTTCATTTGCCTTCAGTTCTAAGTAATTTTTTATATCCTTCGAGACTTATTCTTTGACCAATGGAATATTTATGGGTGCTTTATTTAATTTCCAAGTGTTTGAAGATTTTACTGTTGTATTTGTGTAACTGACTTCTATTTGATTTACTGAGGTGGGAGAACATACTTTGCATGATTGTGGTTGTGATAAATTTGTTAAAATTTGTTTTATGGCCTAGCATCTGCTCAGTCTTGGTGAATGGTGGCTAAAAAAGTATTTATTCGCTATGGTTAGATGAATTGTTCTATCTATGTGAATTAGATATTCTTGGTTGACTGTGTCATTCAGTTCTGTACCCTTCCTAATTACCTGTCTCATAGTTCTGCTCATCATTGGTGAGGTGGCAAAGGCCTCAGCTGTGATGGTGGGTTTGCTGTTTCTCCTTTCAGTTCTATTAGTTTTTACTTCTTCCATTTTGAAGCTCAGTTGTTCTGTGTGTACCCACTTAAGATCACTGTTTTCCTGGTGTATTCATCTTTTTTACCATTATATAATGTTCCTCTTGTTTCTAGTAATTTTATTTGTTACAAAGTCTGCTTCATCTGGTAATAATACAGCCACTTCTGATTTCTTATTATTACTGTCTGTATGTACATTTTCCTGGAGCTGCTGTAACAAAGCATCACAAAGTATGTGGCTTAAAATAACAATTTATTCTCTTGCAGTTTTGGAAGCTAGAAGTCTAAGATCAAGGTGTCACAGGGCTGCCTCTGAAGGCTCTAGAGAACAATCCTTCCTTACCTCTCCCAAGCTCTAGTGGCCCCTGGCAATCTTTGGCTTGTAAATATATCATTCGAATCTGGTTTGGCTGTAGCTGCCTCTGTTTGCACATGGTCTTCTCCCATGTCAGTCTCTCTGTCTTATGTCCTCTTCTTATAAGGACAGCTAGCATTGGATTAGGGTCCATCCCACCCCAGCATGACCTCATCATAACTAATTATGTTTGCATAGACCCTATTTCCAAATAAGGTCATGTTCTGGGATTCTGGGTGGACATACATTTATTTGGGGGACACTTTTCAACCCATTACAATATGGCATATTTCCTCTTTCTTTCTAATTTCAATCCACCTATGCCATTGTATTTGAAGTGAAATCCCTGTACACAGCATAAAGTTGGTTTTATTTTGTTAGCAATCCAGTCCATCTTTGTGTTTTAGTTGTATTCTCTTCTCTCCACTGAGATGTTAATGCAAGGAATGCTGGATCACTTATTGTCCCAAAGATCCCCGAGGCTTATACATTTTTTGGTAAGTTTTCTATTACTCTATCATCAAGTTCACTGTTTATCCTCTGTCATATTCATTCTCATCTCCAGTTTGTTTTGTATTTCAGTTATTGTATTTTTCAGTTCTATGATTTCCATTTGTTTCCTTTTTCATATTGAAGTTGTGATTTTCCTGCTTCTTGGTAAGATGACTGATTTTCAACTGTATTCCAGTATCTTGGAGATTATGTTGGGGGAGACACTGGTCCTATTTCCATCTTCCATTTTGGTGTGCAGCCACCTTGATTGGGTTTAGCACACAGGTTCTGGCTTCTGTTTGTATGCCGTGATTCCCATGGCAGTTTGGTTTCCATTTGGAAGGCTTGGTTCACTGGGTGCTCCTGGGCCTCCCACTGGTCCCTGTTGTGTCAACCACAGGGCAAAAGCACTTGCTTGCCCACACTTGTCAGTGAGTCTCCTGCTCCCCACCCCACTGCAGATTCTGCCAGGCCAGCTGGTGTCTCTAGGTGGGAGAGGGGGCTCTCTACCTCTCAGGAAAGAAAGCCTTTCCTTGGCTCAGGCCCTGGAAGGGCTTTTCCTCCTGCAAATGCCACTAAGTCACCTGGTTTCTCTGGTAGGAGAAGAGATTATCTCCTGTGACAGAGAGTTCTTCATGCTGGACCACTTGCAAATTGCTGATAATTGTAGTAAAAGATTTCATTTGAGGTCTTACAAGGCTCACAATTCTACAAAATATTGTTTCCAGAAAGACTTCATTAAGATTAACAGCAAAACACAGGGAGAGGAATACTCCAAAGCAATTACATCAGATATTTTTGGAAAAATGAGTACTCACTTGAATGAGACTGTCAATTCTTTTCAAATCACTTATTACATCCTGCCATTGTGCCTCTGTTTTAGGAAGACCTGCGCTGATACAGCTGAAAGCAAAACCAAAGGGTGAAGCATATTGAATAAGCATAATATTGTCCTGATGACTACCATGGGCAAAGGAGCAACCAAGAATGTTTTATTATGACTAGTGAAAAGATGAGTGCTGTCCCTGTCTTCAGGCATTTGACAGCCTTGTAGATAAATAGAAGGCCTGAACACACAGTACAACTTTGATGCTTTAGGCTACCTGGGGACTTACGAACATGGATTAGAGAAAGTGAAAGTGATAACTAATAAATAACCTAGTGCAATTTATCATAATGAAATAAAAATAGTGCCTTATGTGTGGTAGTGCTACAGTAGTGCTATCGTAAATATTTTTGAATGAATTACTATTTCTTTTTTTAAGTGGAGGTCTCATCAGACTTTTTAGTCTAATAAATAAATTAACTCTTAATAATCATTCTCATGTAATCATTTTGACAACAGATCATCTTTACAGTAGATTAAACATGCCCCTTGAATGTTGCTCACACTATTACTATGCTTGTAGCAGTTTCCTTCACAAACATTACAGATTTGAGCCCAGTCTAAGTTGTATGATCACATACTTCGTTATTTTGGTAAAACCAAAATTTAATACCAAGACAAAAGACTCCTGTACCGATAAGTGGCTGTGGAATGATTCTTAGAGCTTCAGGAGAAATAGTTGCTCCCTGATGGATCTTGTACAGAAGCATGAGAACCAACACTAATCTTTCCTGGGAGAAAGATTTACCTGCACAAATCTATGGCACCCCATAGTATGCAGACATTAGTAGAGTAAAGCTGAGTTCAGAGTCAGATTACACAACTACAGGTTGGGTACTTTGGGTTAACTGTACACTGTATTAGCTGCATCTAAGAAGGAGGAAAAAACTTAATAGGCATTTTAACAAAAATATGAATATTTAATTGGAATAAAAACAGAAGGCCTAACTAAAGAAAGAACTGGTTCACACTGAACTAGGATAGGGCTCAAAGGATAGGAACAGTGCTAGCAATAGATAAAGAAGTAATGCAGGCTAGCCTTATGTATCTATTTTTTTTACTGCTGTGAAAATCATGCAGGATATTAATAAGGAATCTACTTCCAAGTTCAGTTAGATACCAAGAGGTCCAATTTATGTGAAGGCTATAACATCATCTGGAGTACCATCAGGATATAAAAATGCTCAGTAGGGTGATTACCAAACCTTCCCTGAATCTCCACAATCTGCTCTTTATCATCACTCAAATGCTGAGCACCTAAGGATTCAAAGAAGCTGAACATAAACCAATTCCACAGAGGAGATACTGAAGAATAATGACTATGGCTATCAGTATGATATTTATGCTGAAAAACAAAATTACCCCAAAATGAAGACATGAATGCCAGCCTCCGTTAAAAAATGACTGTTCAGAAGTAAACACAAGTAGCACTGGATGGAAGAACTTCTCAGATATGGTTTCTGAAAGATACAATCGCAAAGTTAGTAAATTGTTTTCAGTTAGAAAGTGAGATTTAAAATTATATTTTATCATGTTTCTATGTCCCAAAATGTAACCTTATCAAAATTTCAGACTGAATATTCCTTATCAGAATTAATGAAACAAATTTATCTTTTTGCTTTCTCCCCCACCTCTGGCTCTGTCTCCTGTGTGCAAAATTCTTTCATATGTATTTCTCCAGATGCATTTCAATGATGATAATTTTAAGAAAATTTACATATTTACTAAATTACATATATACTAACAGCACCACTTGATTTGTTTCTATTATCCTGAAGCTCCCTCTCATCTCTTTTTCCTTTTTAATAGTCCAACATATTTTATATAGCACAGATTAATACCATGAATAATTAATATAGGTGTACTAGTTATATATTAATTTCACATAATGCTATGAAAATTAGTTATATAATCAATATCACTTGGAGAAAAACCAGACAGAAAAGGAACCAATTAAAGATACTCTATGCCATCCTAAGAGCCAATATAAAATAAGGTCTCTTGGTAATTAAGGAAAATCACTTATCTTCAAAGTTCCTGGAGTTTTGATACTGTTGACTGTCTCTTTCATGTTGGAAAAACCTTTATAACTTCAGAAAGCAGTGATGATTTCCACCTTAACCACTAGAATCAGTGCTTCATTTAGTCTAAACTGCAGGGATGAATAATACCCAGATCCTGCCCTCCATGAACTTGCCCTACATAATTATCTGAGTAAACATTTAAAGAATAAAACAGGGAGACATAAGTGAAGCAACACATTTATGACATGAAAAGCACATCAAGATGTTAGTAGAGTTAAAAAGCTATTTTATTTATTTTCAAAATAAGAACAATCTGTGTGTGAAAAGACATCTGTGACATCCCAAGATCTTCACAGAAGAGTCATGTAACATTATAAAGTATCTGAGATTGAAGTGACCTTTTAAGAAAAAATCCATATACTCTCTTCATCTGATTTTTCTTACCGAAATTCTCATTACTCAATGACAGGGTAAATCCTTAAGTATTGAAGAAGAGCTGGCTATGGCAATGGGTTTCCAGCAGCCATCCATTCAGAATACTTCCTACAATACAATCCAGGGTAAAGGATGATCTGTTAAAAACACAGTAGACTAGTGGGAGGAAAGAAAGGGAAGGGAATTAATATTTATTGAGCATGTACTTTTCTATGGACATCCTATTAGTCACTTTAATATAAGCATCACATTTAATCCTCACAGCGATCCTGTAGGGTGGGGTTGGTAGCATTTGGGTAAACTGTCCAAGCCCCTTGCAAGTCAAGACAGCCAGGATTTGAGGCCAGGTCTCTGATTACAAAGCCTGAACCCTTTCCACCATGTTCCTAAATCAACAAATTGCAAAGTCATATTAGTGAAAAGTGAAGCAACCAAGTACCTGGAGTCATATAAATTACTGACTGTTAAGTCTTTGAAATAAATCACTTTGAAATAAGTCACTGTTAATTGAAACACCATTTGAGAATTTCATAAGTAACAAAAAATTTCTATTTTTCTAATTGAAATCATCAAAGAAGGCAAAGTTTACACATTCCCATATTCAATTCCATTTTATTAAATAAAAATTTAAAAGTATATAAAATACAAACTTGTCCTTTTAAAATAGTATGTATTTTACAGCATCTTACTATGTTGATGGACAGTGACTGTGAACGGGTATGTGGGGGGGACTTGCTGAAGGGGGGAACCTCGTAAACATAATGTCCTCCATGTAATTGTAGATTAATGATACCAAAATAAAATTAATTAAAAAAAATAGTATGTATTTGTTGACCTCTCCCCAAAATAAAAATAGGCCATGTCCCTTGACATAAATAGTCACAGCAATTAAGTTTATAAACTATACTAATTTTATTATTTAATTTTCTTTAATTTTAATTTGTATTTAATTTACATACTCATGTTAATGATAGGGAAAATTTACAAGGACAGCAACCTAGCGGGTGGCTCCACTCTGTCTCGCACCCCTCCCTCCTCAACATAAACAACACTATAAGGACAATAATTTACGAGGTGGCTCCCTCCCTGCCTCGCCCCCCTCCTCAACCCAAACAAAAAAAACCACTCCCTTGGTTTCCCCATGCTGCCGAGCACAGGTCCCAAGGTTTGCTTCCTAAACTCCCTCCCCTTGCCTGCTCGCTTGCTGTGTACGTAGGAATGTTACAGATAAGGAAGCAGAAAGGTATAAATTGCTCCCTTTTCCTTTGTTCGGGGCTCAGACTTTTTGGGAGATTACTCCCCCCTGAGCCTGCAGGTGTGAAATAAAGCCTCAGCACTCCAAGACCTCCGAGTGCCGCTTGGTTTTTTCCTTCGGTGATCCAGTCCAGGCTTTTTTTCAGTATTTTCCGTAACATAAACATAATAAAAACAAATATTTAATGTAATTTTTATTTTACAAATTATTTTATTATTCAGATGTTTCTGAAATATAAAAATGATTGCTTTATAATACATGATGTATCAACTTTTTAAAAGAAAAATGAGCATTTATCTAGGTGTTACAGATACTAGAAGAGTATATCTAATAGGAATGCCATTTTTTCCTACAACATATTAAATCTAGTCTAACCTATATTAAATCTAATCCTGTTGCATATGATCTAAATCACCCATTTATTGGTTTAATTAAAGCAAACTCTGTGTTACTCTCATAATCATTCTCTGTCTATATTATCTCAGTGCTCCAATTTTTGAAACTTCAGAATTATCTTTGTAATTTCATCCAAATCCTCTTAAGTTCCCTGTATCCTTTTAAATTGTCATACCCCAAACTCCACATGGTTATAAAAACTGTAGTTACTGTCTTGGGACCAAGTCATACTAAGGAAGATACATGTGTTAATACGGCCATATGAAGCTACTTCAGTAAACAACGGGGGTTTCACTCCTGGGCTTTTGCAGCAGTGAGTCTCCACACATGCAGGGTGTTTAATTCCTACCAAGGTCACAGTGGACTTTCATCGCTCTGCTCAACTAGCTCCAGCTAGCATAAGTCAAGGATGACTAAGTGATGTAACCAAAACGCTCAGGGCAAAGCATGGAAGAATTGGGCAGGAAATTGCCTCAAAAGTCTCTAACAAAAAAATGATAATGGAGACCAGTGTAGCTGAAAAGGAAACTTTTACAGTTTTGATTATCACTTGGCAGAAGAACTGATATGGTCTTTTAGATAGCCACATGGAAATGTCAAATAGACTGGGTTGACAGCAGAGAATCTGGTTTTCATAGCAACTTTGGAAGCAATTAATCTGCCTCTTACTAAACTTCTGTGGACCAATAATTTTACTAGAAATTGTGTGTGTGTATGTGTGTGTGTGTGTATATGTGTTTGTGTGTGTAATCCACGTGGGTCAAAAAGACTGGAAAAAGTATAATACTCTATTGCTTTCACCTTAGTAAGGGTTCAATGTTAACTTTTACTATAAAAATTATTAATGATGCTATATTAATTAGAGTGTTTACCTAGTGCTTTCAGATTTATAAAATTATTTCAAATATATATACTATCACATTCAATCCTGGCAATATCTTTAAATGAAATATATTATTCTTATCTTACAGTAAGAAAATGAGATTCTGAGAGATTAAATGACTTGCTTCAGCGAAATACCCTGCATGTAGCCATCAAAAATTTACCTCACAATATAGGTGGGGTAAGGGAAGAAGGGAGGCAGTAAATTTCACAAACTTTGTGACTGAGAAATGTAGGCCCCTTCTATATATATAGAAAGTACACCACCCATCCCATGTAAATAATCAAAAGCCACAGCTCTCTGAAAACTTAAAAACAGGTCTCAAATTGTTCTGATCTGAAACATAACTCAAGTTCTTTCACACACATCATCTCATTTGCCTCTCACAAAATAACTGGTGGAGAGGTCTCAAATTGTTCTGATCTGAAACATAACTCAAGTTCTTTCACACACATCATCTCATTTGCCTCTCACAAAATAACTGGTGGAGGAAAGTGGCCGAAACCAAGCCAATCACTTCCTGAGCAGGCAAACACAGGGCTGGAATGGATTTTCCACTCCTTCTATGCCATGGCCCTGGATGACAGGAAGCAGTGTTTAATGCTGTCACACCAACTACGCACGGTCATGATTTGTCCTCACAACTGCCACCTTTGGTTTTTCCTTCATTCCCCTGATGCCAGGACCTGGGAATAAACAAAGACTAAATTCCAGGCCTAGCCTCAAGGAACTTACTGAGCTTAAGCAGGATATTTTTTTTCTAATCCTGTGATTGGGTCTCCTCACTCCAGGGTGCCTGTTGACCTTACAGCAGCACTGCTATCCAAGCAGGATGCCACTGCCCAGGCCAGAGACGTCAAGGCACTGGAAAGGGCTGACAAATCAACACAGCTGGGTAGTTCTGGAGCAACTTGTGAAAATAACTGTAAACATGTTAAATTCTATACCAATATTACAGTTCTTACTAGCATGAAAATATAATCTAACACACTGCTTTTCTGTTTTGCTTTATTCTGCTTAATTATTTACATGCTTAGTCACACATTTAAAACAAATTCAAATAGACTTAGCAACAAAAGAAGAGTTACAAGTATTGGTTTATTTGGAAAACATGTTCATCTATTCCATCAAATAGCTAAAAATGAGAGCAAATCAAGGTTGAGTGCTTCTGTGGAATATAAAGAATGTACAACAATGTAGCTGTCCATTCATTTAGTAAATAATTATCAAGTACTTACCATGTGCTAGGCATTTTTGTGTGACCTTGGAATACATCAATGAATGCAGAAGACAAAGAACCTTGACTTCAGGTGAAAAGCCCACTTGCAATATACATAAGTTAAGTTATATATTTTATGAGAGTGTGATACATGATACAGGAAAAAGAAAATGGAGACTGAAGTAAGAAAGATAGGGTTGCAATTTTAGGTAGAGTGGTTAGGGTAAGGTTTAGGTAAAACAAAATCT